CCTGTTACTTTTAATAACACTATATGTAACATTATGGATAGCAGTTAAATGCTTTGAAAGAGTTCCTGAGTTCTTTCTGACATAATCATGGGAAAGGTTAATAAAAACCAAGGGAGAACTGTTGTAGACTGAATTTAGTTAGCTAAATTCTTTTAACTGGATTCTCTTGCCTAAGCAGTTTTGCTTAGCAGAAGCAGGCAAAGTTCCTGAAACTTTAGCCCACAAGCTGCAAACTTTCACCTTGAAGTGCTGAAGGAATCTTGTGCTACTGTTTCCCTACAAAGAAAGGAGGCCTCAAGACAATAGCAAAYTAAGATTAAGAAGCCATGGCTATCATCAGAAGCAACAACCCATCCAGAYAAAAACAGCTACAGAGAAAGAATGTGATAAGGAAYWAAAAAAACACAAAACAAAAAATACCACTGCAAAAAGAACAGGTGCATAGGTGATATGGGTATAAAATCCCAGGGATTTCTTTGTTTTGGGTCTCTCTGGTAAGGCACCAGGCTTGAGCTGTCCCTATTGTAGTACTACAGAATTATTAAAGGGGTGGTTTTTTTTTTTTTTTTTTTCCCAGAAACTGGATATCTGGGACTCAGCTGTAAGACATCTAGAGTGAACAAATTTCTTTAACAATTTACACGTGGGCAACTAATTTTCCTTTACAACAAAGCTTCATAACTGGAAATGGTAACAARAACAGAAATAAATTCACACATTCGGGCACTTATTTTGCTATATTACAGTGTAACAGAATTATGACTCCAAAAAACAATCTCACTTTTCCTCCTTTAATGTGTGTGTCCATGTGATTCCAATACTAAATTCCAAACAATCAATTTCATGAATTAAAGCATGACTAATTACATGATTTGCAGAAGAAAAACAGAGTCCCAAAACACAAAAAAATGGTTCTATTATTACTTGCAACACACCAAGGAAAAACACATGGAGTTAGACTCTGTTCTGCAGTATTTTGTTTTCATGTATGCCAGTATTGACTGAATTACAGAATTGCCTACTAAGGCTTTCCTCTAGGCAATCCTTACAAAACTGTCCTTGAAAGAATGCTATCAGGATAAACTATTTAAAAATATGAAAATTGCAGTCAGTCTAAGAAAAAATTCCACAGAAACTTTCTACGCCATTTTAAAACCACAATGAAAAACTCAAAAACACTTCAGGAACTATATATAAATGTTACCAGAGGCATCATCTTATACACACAAAAGAAGATAACCTTTTAGAAGTAATAGTAACAAAGGTTTAGAGATTTCAAAAGAACACAGTGCATTACTGCATGATCAACAAATTTAATTTGCCTGAATCGGTAAAGAATGCTAACTCTGCAGCTGGGCCTTTTGAGTAAAGAGCTGGCAAATGCAGTTTGGTCACTGTGGTAAGAATGAATTGAGTTATCAAGTGGTGCAATTTTAAGACCTGCAATACCTACAACCAGCCTTTACACAAATCCTCAGTTAATACCGTCTAAAAATCGCAAAACAACAGTCGGGAGAAGAGAGAAAATACACCTTTAAGGTTCAAAAGTACAGGGTTTGAAAGGCAATGAAATATGAGTCCATTTTCTCTGTAAAAAACAAAGCTTTAAAAGTTGTCTCCTTACAGTTGTTTCAATTCATAATAAATACTTTGGATTCTAAAGGTCAAATGATTGCATTATCTGGCAAAGCCCTCTTAGGAGGTTTTCTTCAAATTGAAAAGACCTAAAAAAATTTAGTAAAAATTCCTCTGAAAAAGACAATGAAGAACTATATTAAAAAAAAGCTAACTTACAGAACTTTGTGACTAAATCTTCCACTCAAACATTGAAACATAATACCACAAAAAGTCTCTGTCTAGTGAAAATTTTTTTATATTGCAAGATGGAATACTAGATTTGCTTTGTGTCTTTCTAAAGGTGAAGACCCTTTTTTCCAGATTTAATATATTCAAGAAATAATACTAGAATAAAACAAAAACTTTTGTTGTCAAACTTTTAACAAGACCTTTTGTAGCCCAAGCAAGCAAAACCCTAGTAATTAGATAAAACAGTCTGGAGGGGTCCAGAGGAGGGTTATGAAGATGATCAGGCTGCAGAATATCCAAAAGAATCCAAAAGATTATGAAAAGGCTAATGAGTCTGCCTAATGAGAAAAGACTGAAGGAGCTATGTCTCCCTGGACAAGACTTCATACAAGCCATATCAAAGTACCCCAGTACTTGTAAGGCTACAATGATGAAGGTTTTCTTCACAAGGAGCCGCATGGAGATAAGTGGCAACAGTGGGGACAAGTTGCAAAAGCAAGATTTTATCTGGGTTAAGAATTTCTTTCTCGCACTATCATTCACTGAAACCATCTCCTCAGGGTTAAGCTTTCAAAACAAAACTGGACAGGGTAGCTGATTCAAGGCTGACTTCAAGGCTGCCTTTCCCAAGAAAAGCTGGAGCAGACAATCCTTTGAGGTCCATTTCAAYACGGGACTTTCAAACCTGTTCTGTGATGAGATGATTCCAAGAACTAGAACAATATAGTGAATGACATAATTTTAACTGTAATACTACCAGAATCTGATTCTGCTGTTCGAACAGATCTAAATGCTATTTTACGCTGTTTAATTCCTAATCAGTCGAATTAAGTTAGAGGTAGTTATGCCAAAAATCGGGGGGGGGCAGTGGGGAGGATCACTAACAAAGTGTAGAAACAAAGTCTTTTAAGTTGGGTCTGTTGGGGTTTTTTTAATTGTTGGGGTTCTTCTTTAAATAAACTTTTAGCAATTAGTTTTACAGTTTCATAATTTAAATGAACATTATTTATTTCCCCAAACAGAGGTGCACTCTTCCATCATTAGACGTTCTATGTCAAACAAAGACCTTTCCCAGAGATTTCTCAGTCTCAGTTGTCAAGCTGATAGCCCCCTGAGTCTTATCTAGAATCCAGAACTTTTCTGGTTGAACACCATGTAACAAATCAACTTTTTACAGCCCAAATAAAGAGTTGAGCCCCTGCTTTCCTAAAAACCACAAGACTTTTCTCTCAACATTTAAGCCATCTGCTTAACATTTGTCAGCTACACCATCACCATGTCCTAACTCAGAGGGTTCTGTGCCCTTCAGAGCAGACTTCTTAAGACAGAACATTTAAAGGTGGAGCACACAGTCAAGACCAAGTCTTGACTATCCATGCCAGTTTAGCACCCTAAACACTATATTTTTGCAGTCCTTACTTCCTAACAAGCCCAAGACAAACACACAYAACATTCAGAACAGCCACTATGTTTATAGAAGAAAGTGCATTTTTAAATCTAGAAGAGAAATAACTCTCCTTAAAATAGATCTTAATGCCCCTTCCCTAAGGATACTATTGTTAGCAGGTTTTTCTCCATTTTAAATTAGCAGGAAATTGAACCAAGGTGCACATGCTGCTGCCTCTGTATGAGAAAACAGACTTCTTAACACCAAGATTGCAAAGAATAGTCAAAGACACTCCACAGGGCCACTGCGTATTACCACAGAATTAAGATACCTCTAYGCAAGCAGGAGTAAAGGATGGTCTTCACATACTGCCATTGTTCTGGTAGGTTACTGATAGCCTCCAGTTCTCATTCAAAAACTTTTTCATCAGAACTTAAGACTTTGCTGTTCACCTTCTGTTGATAACCACAGTAAAGTAATGTTTGAAAAAAATAAGATATTATAATCTGAGTATTGGTCTTATTGGCAGTAATCTCTCATAAAGTCACATAAYTGCAGAGAAACCTAAAAAAGACTAGTTTAATGTAACTGTCCAGAAAGACAGGGACAACTTGGTGATATCTTCCKCTACAAAGGTGCTCATTAGCTAGCACAAATTTAGCATTGAAAGATTCTCTGCTCCACAAAGTCAACTAACTGCTGTTGGAAAGAGTGTAAGAACCATAAGCCTAAGCAACAGAATTGGTAGTGCTGCCAACAACCCAATGGAGCAAAAGCCCCGATTCAAAGACCTTTTTCTAGGGCATTAAAACACACGGTAAATTAATTACTCTCAGTTTAACGTGAGTTTTTACTACAGGAATAATACATCTTAATAACAGATTATGTGTTAGGCTTCGTTGCTTCCTACACAGGAATGGGAATTTACAATACAAGAGGGCAAAACAATTATATTCTGTGTAGAGATTCTCAGTATTTGGAAACAATCAGCCAGCCTCAGACACTTTAGATACTGAATCCAAAGCTCAATATCTGTTAAGTAGTAACAATCAGACTCACAAAGACGCCTCCGTAAGCAAGGAGCTATAGCCAAGCAAAGCCTGTAACTGGAAAGAGGACCGTGACACACATTTTGATACAAAAGCCGACTAACTCCCTATTTCCCCAAGCAATATTATCCATCAAAACCCAGCAGCTGACCATTCCCGAACACCCTGCTGAAGAGTTATCCCAGGAAATAAGGTTTCAGTCAAAGGCTGGTGCACCAATACAAGCTTAACGCAAAGTAAGCACAGACCCCTGCAGTCGTTAGAACCCTGAAGACACTGAGGGGCCAGAAAACTCACAGGTACCGGACAAAACACGTCTAGAAACTTCAAACACCGAAGGGGACTGTCCAAGGACATGAAAGGCAGCAACAGGGCTGCTTAAACGAGCATGAAAAGTAACAGATGCTGCAGCGCAGGAGTTAATTCTCTTGCACTTGTCTCYTGGGGATATTGCTAAAGTTTACATGTACACATCCAAAGGTCTTCTGGGCTGCAAGCGCCCCGCAAGATCGTACCGCGACCGTGCTCAAGTATCACTGCTTTCTCTAAGGCATTTTCGGGTGCGTTAACCCCCACGAACTGGGTTTTCTTAGCCCTGCAATGACACCGCTACCCACGCCACGGCTGCCAAGAGGCCGGTGAAGCGCGGAGTCCACGGCYACCCACCCCGCGCCGCAGGGCCCGCACGGACACCGCACCGGGCACAGCACGGCCGGGAACCTCCTTCCCAAAGCCGGCCGCCGGTCCTGCCCAGGTACCTGGCTGCGGCGGCCCCGAGGGCGCAGGGGAGGTCTCCGGCTTCTTGCGTTCCTTCTGGCTGTCCCTCTTGCCGCCGCCTGCCCGCCCGTCGGGCACGGGTCTCCTGCCGGCGGCCGCCGCCTCGTCGCGCTTCTTGCGCTGCTGCCGGCGGCGCTCGGCCTCGCGCAGGACGTCGAAGGGGTCCGACTCGTCGTCCAGAAGCTGGTAGAAGCGATTGGCAACGGCGCACCCGAAGTTCTCCTGCATGACGGCAGCCACCGGGCTGCCCACCAGCCCCGTCATCATCCGCGCGGCTGCCTCGCCTCTCCTCCCCCACCGCCCCCTCCCCGCGCTCCGGCGGCCGCACCACCTCCCTCACGCCTGGGGCTGCCGCTGCTGCTGCGCGAGGCCGAAACAACCCGCGCGCCGTGCCACAGCGGAGGCGGAGCKGCCCCCGCACCGCCCCGGCGCTCCCGGGCCGCCGCACCTTCCCCGCAGCCCCGCCCCGGCTGGGCGGCAGCAGCCAATAGAGGCCCGCGGCTCCATCGCCACCGCCCGTCAGCGCGGCCGGGCCCGCCCACCGCCCGCACGCGCGGCCGGCCAGGGACAGAACAGCCAGTCCCGGCGCGAGGCTCTGCCCCGCCCCGCCCCCAGCGTGTGGCTGCTGCCAATTATCGCGAGCATCGAGCTGTCAATCAGGCCCGCTGACCAATGCGGTGAGTTGTTCAATTATCCGCACGGTGTGCGCCCCGCCCCCCCGACAGAGCCGGCACGGCCCCTCAGACACGGCCAACGCTGAGGGAGGGCGCACGGCCTGGCGGGCTGCACCCCTGCCCAGCGACACTTCTTAGAAGGAAACGCTTCATACGTGCTGCCATCACACAACGGTGTCACCACGGGTCTTTTGGTACAACCTAAGCCCTCTAATAAGTGGCACCAATGAAAGACGGCGCTCGCTACACCGGGAGCTGCCAAAGGTAATTCTGCTCTATGTGGCCGTCATGCTTGCATGAAGTTGTGTGGTGCACTCACAAAGTTTCTGGAACGCCCCTTTCTGCTTAGAAAAGCAGGGGTATCCATAAGGCCAGCGAGCTCCGCGGTGCCGGCGGTGACGCTTCCACCAGCCCACAAGTGCAGAGTCACAGCTTGACTCGGAGAGCTGCTCCCTCCGGCAAAAGCCGTGATGGAGCTCTCCTGCTGTCACCAAACCCCTGTGCTGTGAGCCTGGTGTGACCCCTGTAGGAGCCGTGTCGGCTGCTCACAGCTCTGGACTGAGCTACGAGCACTCTTGCTGTCTCAAAATAAAAAAAATATCTCAATAAATATGACCAGCAGTGGCATGCGGGGAGACTCAGCAACGGTGGGTTTTTTTGGTTTTTTGTTTTTTTTTTTTTCTTTTTTTTTCCCCGCAGACGCACCTGGGCAAACGAAATTTCAGTGCCTCTTTTATCAGCCACAGTAACACCAAAATCTCAGCCCTTCAGCCTCAATTACTCAAAAGAATGACGTTTGCATTCTTGATTTCTGCGATAAGGCTGTTTTTATCCTGATCGTTCATGAAAAACTAACACTTCCTCTGTCATGACAACGGCACTGTATCTACCTCCTTATTTTGAAATTAATTTTATCCCTATTACAGGGACTTGAAACTAAATCAGAATTCTTGCTATGTTTCAAAAGCCACGATTAAAGACAGCCCTGTCACCATAACTGCCTTCTCTCTTCATTTTGGAGCGCTGATACATCCATGCACACCACTGTAAAACAAAATATGGTCTATCTTCCAGAGCTCAATCCAAGCCCTGAACATAATCACTGCATCTCTCCTGGCTTTAACGTAGGCCCGCTTTTGCAGGGCATGCTTACTGCAGAATAAAACTAATTTAATTTGACTTTAGTAGCCTTTCAAGCTCCAATTCCATTCAAGAGATCACAAACTGCTTTGCATCAATGGATTTAATGACAGTAAGTTCAGCTTAAATTTTCTGCTGGAAAAGAATTTACAAAATCCTGGTAGCTGAATCAAATCTTTCAGTCTCTGAAACACTTCAAATTAAAAGCAGAAAATTTTGGCTCAGGAAGGAAAGGAAAAATATCATTATTTCAGTTACARTTCTTACATTGTAAAAAGTAGCTACTCATAATCAACAAAAAATTATGAATGCATTTTCATGAATATGATAATCAAATACTGGATAAGAAATGTTCACTTAGATCAACTGTACTTGCCTCAGAATAGTTGGTTTATTTTGTAGAGAGATGAAACTACATGTGTTCTCAGTTCAAAGAAGGAGTTAGAATGCTACTTCRTGCTGTTCTAATCTGGCAAAAGACATTAACAATGTTATGTTCCTGCAGCATACCAAAAGACTCACCAACTCTTTGTAGACCTTTCTGGAGCCTTTTGGTATCAATTGCAGCATCCACACTAGATCTTCTCAGCACACATTGTATCCATAATTTTTTTTTTAGAAATTTAAAAAATACTTTATTTAAAAATTTTACAAGTTCGAATCAAAGTTATGCTGCATATGAAAGATGACAGACAAAAAGGTGTCATCTTTGACTGCRATATCCTTGCAGCTTTAATAAGTACTTTGCAGGTCATAGTATTTCTGGAGAGAGATGAATATGAGGAATTCAGAAATATTTCAGCAGTAAGATTAGAGATTTGATGTGCTTTAGCATTAGGCTTTTTTWATGAAGTCTCAAAAAAAAGAAAAAATAAGCCTAACTGCTCAGAGAGATTCCACAATGACAGGCAAAATCAGTGTTTGTTATATCTTGTCTGTATAAATAAATAAATCTCTATAATTGTGTTCTAAAAATAATGTAAAGCTTTAGAAATCCTTAGTTTTCTGATGCTCTGATCTGTCAATCAAAACTAAATTTCTGTAAGAGAKTTCAGCACCCAAAGTGATTGAAAGTTTAGCATGACAGATGAAAATAATTTTCAATCTCTTAATTTGCTTGCAGCTTTTCACTGTGTACAATCAGTGCACGATTGTCAAGTTACAAAGTCACACAAACAACAGAGATAGACAAGAAAAACTCAAATTTTACCGTTAAAGTGAAGCCAAATATTCTGTCTGGAATTTTACACCAAATAAGTAACAGCRATGGCTTCAGCATGATTACATATTTGTATGCAAAGAGTGAATCTCTTGCTGTACTAAGCCAGGTGCTCAACTCTTCTGACAACAGGCAATTCATGTTAAGTCAASATGAGGAGCTGCCAAAGTGGCTCCTCCATCCAGGTTCTCTCCGCAAGTGGATTTTTCACACACACAGAACAGAAACACAAGCTTGTCTAGCAGGTGTAGAAATGGAATATTGCATCTTTACCAAAAGGTCCTTGCTTATTTTTTTTTTTTTCCTAAGGGGAAAAAGTGCCTAATTACCAGAGACAGAATTGAGAACAGAGACTGGTGTTTCCCTGACCTTTACAACTAAGTGCTTAATAACCAGCAAGGATCATCCTGCCCTTGACCTTTCTTACAGCCACTTTCTCATCCCTGGACATTTGATTTTCTAGTGCCTAAATCTCTCCTGCCTGAGGGAGAAACATCCTGAACACACCATGGGGCTTAAGGTCCCATTCTGAGACAGAACAGGTAAAAAGGGTAACGCTCTGTCACTTAGTAGATCTGGCCATCACATACATTTTCCAGAAATGCGATTTTATCAAGCAAAATTGACCACACAAATTCTTAAGCTAAACAGCAAGCTGTATCACCAAAGATGGAGTGATATAGAGCAATACGCCTCATGCTGGGAGTATTGTGTGTGAGCTGGACATTGTGCCCTAGCTGGCAGCAAATGGCTAGAGTCCCAGCAAGTGAGCCAGGGACAAGGCTTTGTGCTGTCAAAGGGCACACAGAGACCTGTGGTGCTGGCTCGTCGGGGCAGGGGGGGCCAGTCACTTAGAGACCCTGCAGGATCCAATAAGCAAGGAGGAGACCCTAGCCCAAACACCTTGGGCCAAGGGGCAAGTGCAAGGGTGGGTGCAAAGACCGTAAGGGCGTAAAAGCCCAGAGATTCATTTCTAATAGTGCACGCTGCTACTGTGTTGCTGCATCACTATTAAGGCATTTGCCGTTAGGGATTCTGTCACTGGAAACATGGCGGKGTCAACATGGTAAAGGAAGTTTGTCTGGCAGAGTGAGTGTGGTGTGTGTAGGGATTCAAACAGGGCACCTGTCAGATCACTGGAGACACCCACAGCAAAGAGGTCTCAGTCTCATGGGTTGTGAATATGACTACCACAGTGGAATCTGAATGCTCAGACAGGAAATCTGGAAAATTGAAAAATATAATAATAAAGACTTGGATAAAAGATATTATTAGATAAAAGATTATTACCATTGCTAAGTTTTTATGTTAATCCATATTATTACATAATAACAATAAAGTTACATGTAGTTCGGTTAAGTGTTGCTATCATCTATCTAAAGGCCATAACCTAAAGTGCATGCTTTAAAGAGGTAGAACACCTCTTTCCATCTTTGTCATGTTTGTGTTCTGTTTCAGTTAATTGTTTCTATTTCTCAGAGKTTATTATCCTCAAACTCCATAATTCTCATTTCTGCCTTGAGTCTAATTAGCCAGATAGAACACAGAGACCTTTTCCTGCTTTCTCTTGAATCCTTGCTCCCTATCCTTTCCCAATTTCTGTCTCATGTCATATGTGATAGAAGGTATGCTCCATTTTAAAAAGTAGGATTTGATCTGACTATCAGTTGTATCATGTTTCATTATCTTAGTCCTTTAAGTCTCAGAGAGAACTTTTCCTTGTTTCCACACTAAAATATTAATGCTTTAACACATTGTATTGGGTTTGCAATGCCAAGTTTTGGGGTGGAGCGGCTGCAGGGCTGGCATCTATGGGAAGCTGCTGGAATTTTTCTCGATGCCTGGCAGAGCCAATCCACAGCAGCTCCAAAGACAAAGGTGCCAGTGGTCACAGCTGGGACAATTGGAAATGATTGTAACACCTCTGTGATAATGCATTTAAGAAGAAAATAAAAAAGTTATTGCGCACATGTACTTGTGGTCAGAGAAGAGTGGGTGAGAACATGTGAGAGGCATAACCCTGCATACACCAAGGTCAGTAGAGAAGGAAAGGGCTCCCAGTGCTGGAACTGAGATTCCCCTGCAGCCTGTGATGCACCCCATGATGAGGCAGCTGTGTCCCTGCAGCCCATGGAGGTCCACGGGGATGGAGAGATCMACCTGCAGCCTGTGGAGGAGCTCCACATCASAGCAGGTGGATGCACRAAGGAGGATGAGAACCTGTGGGAGGCTCCATGCTGGAGCAGCCTGTCCTTGAAGGACCCTGTGGAAAAGTGATTCTGCTGCAGCAGTTTGGGGAGCACTGCTGCCT